TTCTACTACTACTATTACTACTACTTCTACTACTACTAATACTACTACTACTACTACTACTACTACTACTCCTACTCCTACTCCTACTCCTACTCCTACTGCTGCTGCTACTACAACTACTACTACTGCTACGAACTATAACTTACGAACCACTAAATGCTAACTACGAGCCACTAACTACTACAGATTGACTACTCACTACTAACTGGTAACTACCAACTACTAACTACGTACTACTTCTACTACTACGACGATGATGGCCGCGCCTACCACGCTTACTACTACTGTTAGTACAGCAAGTAATACTACTTTTAATTCTACGATTAGTTCTACTCCAAACATACTTTCGCACTCCTATGAATACTACGATTAATACTCTATCAGTACCACTATAAATTCGACCATTAGTAGTACTACTCGTATTTCTACCGCTCCTACTAAACGTACTAGTACTAGCACTACTGCCGCTGCTGCTACTACTTATATTTTTGCTACTGCTACGCTGCTACTTCGGTTGCTGGTGCTGCTGCTTCACCTATAGCCACCATTGTGTCCGTGACGACGGCTGATTCTATGCACATCAGAACATAATCAGAAGTTGAGCGAACTGACTCCGTTGGTATCTGAGCAGCCATTTCTGTGGAAAGGCCGAAGTCGCCGAGCTTGGCGTGGCCACCTTCGGCCTTCGAGAGGAAGATATTCGGCCTCATCTTGGCAGCGACCCATGCAGCAACCTCATGGAACCTGTATCGGCTTGGAAAGCTGTCCCTCAGAGGTTGCAAAGTTTGCCGAGACGTCAACGCTTGGACATGCTTGGATGTTCGAACACGGCACTCACCATCTTTTTGCGGAGGCGGGTCGCATACACTGCGACAAATGGGAGCTGCAAACAGCCAATGCACGAGTGGGACTTCTGCCACGAGTCCTGGCTGCGCAGGAAGGCGAAGACCTTTGACATGGCAGGCTCCTCCAGTATTGACCCCGCTCCACCAAGGAACCACTGCACCAATATGTGCCGGGGTTTCAAAAAAAGTTGTCGTAGAGCGGCTATGTGGATGTTTCACACAGTGGCGGTTTCTGAAAGCTGCAGTGCAGTGCCGAACCGCTTCAAACCTGGAGTCCAGCGTTTTCACGAAAGGTTGAGTGCCTACTAACCGGGCGATTTGTATGAGGTAGGACAGGAACAAGACACCCCTCTGACAGTTGTTGCCAGGTTTCAGGCTGTCGGTTGGCAGTGAAGACCCGTCAACACACAGTCGTCTTCCCATCTGTGCGGAAGAGGGGGATTGCAGAGCCAATGGAAGAGATGCCAGTCTTGATCGTTCCTCGGGTAGCTCAGTGCGCTGACCACTCGTCTCCTGTTAGCACTACTAGCTCTTTGCCGAGGTGCCTTTCTCGGAGCCTTCCTCTTTCGCCTCGCAGGGGCTCCATGGTGGCGACAAGCATCGGCCCGAGGGAGACCATGCCACCCGGTCCGTGCGAACTCCACACCATAGAAATGATGTGACGATGACTTCCCCGGGACACGATGAGGCAACCAGCCGGGGGCTCATGAATTTCGATACATGTGCCTCTGCAACGGCCATGGCCGCGACGCTCGCAGCGAAGTTTGGAGGAAGCCTGCCAACGCTGCCAACTGTCAACAGCAACAGCAACACGAATCAGGAATCACGGTCAGAGCGATGTATTTGCAGACACGGCCACCTTGAGCTGCTGGGGGAAGCCTGTACAGCAGCCATGCGATGGTGCTTCCGATGTGCCAAGTGTTGTTTCTTGTTGTTAATGTCATGATGGGTCGGCAGTACACTCTGTCACTTGAAGGACCATGCAACCATGTATGCCTGCATGGCATTGAAAAGGATGCACTCGACACCTGCTTCAATAAACGCGCCTTGATTCCACCACTGCTTAGAACGGATCCGAAAATATGCGCTTGCAGCGACTGGCGGTGGGCTACACACTCACCGGAGCCTTTATTGTGCTGTGGGGCCTGCTGTCTTCGTTACACTGACTGCACCCGAACTTGTCGCGTGCTTTGGGGGGGGGGGGGTGCGTAGCGGCGGAACGTGAGACAAGTCGACAACATCCGTTCCACTCATGGCAGCATCCGTCGATTTGCAAGCGTGCCTGATGAGGAATTCAGGAATGCCTGTCGAAAGACGATTGATGGTACGAGAATGCGGTCAATCACGTGCAGGGCATGTACACCGTCGGACGATCACCACGCATACAAGAGCTCGAAGGGGTACCTGCACCGTCCTGCACCGTACTTGAGCCTTGCAGCATGTGCCCGGACCGTCAGACCAATTGGCACTGACTTCGGAGTTAGGTGCTTAGTTCGCAATCTGCGTCGAACTTTCAAACACGACGAAACCCTCGTGCCCTGCCTGCAAGACTGGCTCAGACTCTGCGCTTTGAAGAAGGGCGATGTCCTCGGATGCTCCAGGCTTGACGTCCCGCTGTCCAGGACTACTACACGGGATTGTGGCAAGCCCACTATTGGCGATACAGATGCTGGCACGATCCGTTGGTACTGAGGGTCACGACTGCGAGAGATGTGGCATTTACTGCTGTTACGTGACTCAGCGCGCCGTTACGGAACACGTGCACTGAAAACTCTGGAACCTGGCACGGTGACGACACCAGGGTGAGGGGTGCAGGAGATGGAGCAGACACTCGACGAGCAGCCCCCTTCCCCCACCCATGAAAGGCCACCCTGACTCGCCCAGGGGATTAGCTCGCGGAATCGGTCAGTTCCAGACTGCCGGATTATTGCATCGCAGGCTGGACTCGACATGCTGGACCGGAAGACGGCGTAGAGCATCCTCACATCCCACTATTGCCACGTCAACTACCGATGCGCGACAGCAATTTGGTGTGGAGACATGCTCCGAACTCGAGTACGTCGTGGATTGAAGAAAACAAGGGGCGCCAGGAGACAGAGGCAGCGAACAGACTGACTGACACAAGAAGCCGCGATCGCAACATGGAAAGGGGTTCAGACAAAACTACGTCGAGGCAGTAAATGCTATGCAACTCTCGGTGCTTAATAAGAATAATAATAATAAATAAAAAATAATAACAATAATAATAACAAGAATAATAACAATAATAAGAATACGAAAATAGCAATAATAATAACAATAATTAAACACGCCAATAATACTAGGAATAATGACATTGTGTATATAATTTGCGTAATTAGGTTGCGGCCGGCTGAGCCTCTGGCTAATTGCCTCGAGCCCCATACGCGCCGCGAGACAAAAATCAGTGCTTGAACTTGTCCCCCATGTGACATCCTGGCATGTCCGTCAAAGTTAGTCCGAGGCATCTCTTCCACAGAGTCTTTCTGGATCATCCGGGGTTAACATCCCAGATTCTGGGAGCCTCAGCGGCGCCGCCACCTGTTCAGGTGCTGCCGCTCTGCACCATAGAACGCCAGGAGAGTCGCGCTTCGGCTTCCAACAAGTGCACACATGCTCTGTGCACGGAGCCAAGACAGCCCAGCCAGCAAGAGCCAGCAAGATGCCTACCTTCCGGGTGGAGAAGTGGGGATCCTCATCGATAGTACGTGCTGCAGACCGGAGGGCTTCTCGAGACCTTGGTGTGGCGACAGCCTAAAACCTGAAGTCTGCCGACGCTGTGCATGGAAGGCGCTGGTCAGTTGCCACCACTTCCAGAAAGCGACTTCCGGCCATCTCGCCTCTCCGAACCATGGGGCAGGAGCAAAGTGCAACTACCCATCACTGCATGTGGAGGTCTACAAACTTACAAAACTGCGAAGGATGATTTCCACAATTTCCCCCTGCGTCTGCCGAGTTGTGCTCCTTTCGCACTAGATGGATGATAGATCCAGCTCTACAGCGGGATGCATGCCCTCCACCCCCAACCGCACGGTTTGGCCAAGTCGAGTGGCGACTGGGGCTCTAGAAACAAAAAGCTTGCATGAGAGTGGGAACAGCTCATGGCACAGCCCAGGGCGGCACACCTCCAAACCAGTGATTCTGCATGGCCCGAGCGGCCTCAGCGTTTCAAGAGGGAAAAAAAGTCATGCTCGTTCTACAACACAACAACGAAACCAGATGCTGTCACTGTAGGCATGGTCAAAGCAAAAACTTGCCTGACAAAGCTCGTCAAGCCCCAAAGTGATTCTGATGTTGCTGCACGCGCGGCTTCTGTCGATGGCTGCATGACCGTCCAGTGCTCGTCCACGCACACTCTCCAATCAATCATTGCCTGAGCCACATGTGACTAAGAAGGGCAACCTACCTAATGTCTACTCGTATCATGTCTTGGCAGAAAAGTCGGTATCCTTGCACTGGGCAGCGAGCGCTCTGAATCTGCAAGTTGCCCAAGCTGCTTAAAAATCTCCTCGGGGAAGAGCACTTTCGCTTGTGCTGGCGAGATGTCCCAAACCGCTGCTCAAACGTGCCGCAAAAGGAGAGCTTTGCGCCAAGTGTAGATATGTGTCGACGGAACATGGCACCAACATTGCTGTTCAACTTCTGGCTGCAGACAAAGCAACTGGAAAACAGGTCCACAGAAACACAGCGACAATGAGATGCCCTTTGCAATGACGTCCAGGAAGGTGTAGGCCAGGACCTGCCAGCCATCCACTCTTCCAATTTCTGGCTCTGGCATACCAGTTAGGAGAAATAATCGGCGAAACGGGACGCATGAAGAAATATCTGGGCGAAAGTGAAAATCCTGCTTGCGGTGGGAGCAGGTCCGCCAATCAAATTTTAGACTTCAGGCCACAGGGCACATCGCTTACCAACATCATTAAGTCGCACAGGGTCATGTAAAACTGCTCCTAGCTATACGCTTGTGTAGCACATTGTCCGACATGAGCATGGCATTGTCCATTTAAGCTGCTCCTAACTATACGCTTGTATAGCATGGCACAAGCTCGGTTTCCACTGCACACACACACAATCGTCTCAGGTGGGCCTGCTCTTGCCACAAGGTCACGATACCGAAGCTGCGCAGCACGTGAAATGCCTGGCAGACACAGACGGGTGCTTGGATTTGCGCCGCGACACATCGAAGTCCCGCATCTCTGAGGAGGCAGCCGGGTACATCATCCACAAGATGACAGCAAACCTCGGCCAACAGTCGGAAAACACAGGTCCAGTCCAGCCCATCATGTTGGACCGAGTTTCCGCTCCTTTGCCGAGAAACCTTCGGTACTTTCTAGCCAGCTGCGAACATCCAGGCTCTAGCCTTGGAAAAGACAATCCGAGCTAGCTCCATCGCCTAGCCCAGCTTGAAGTGTCATGCCACAGCTTGTGCTTCCATGGCACGGCAACTGCGAGACCTGCACACCATATCCAGCTTCTGTTTGGCTGTCGGTGCTGATGCCACGAACATCGGGCACCCAACATCTACACACGTCCAGCCTTTCGGAACATGAGCGCGAAGCATGTACAGGACGCAATGAAGAAGGGTTTTCCCTGCACCGAAACATCGGAAGCCGACGTGTTGGACAATGGCTGACCCAATTACCCAAGACTGGTAACTTCAATCGCAGCTAGTTAAGTCAACAACAAAGAGTCGCAGTCGAAGCTGACCGCGGTAATGCAACAGAAAATCAGTGCGTCGGAGAGTGAGCTGTTTGCTGCTAGCATGTCTTCTCTTGCGAACGATGGCACATCAACAAACATCTGAACGACTGCATGAAAACTTGGTGTGGCAGGGCAGCTTTTTCCGGCTACCGGGGAGCCAATCATCAATGCGTTTCGATGTGCTGCATCAAACCTGCCCAAGCCTGACTGCAAGAACATACCCTGCCTGGCCGCGGCTGCTGGATCGCTCAGTCGCAGACCGAAGACCCAGAAGTATCATCTCAGATGCGAGGACCGGTATTCGTTAACTGTCGGTCATAAGTGGCGAATGCATGCAAGGCTCTGAAGACGTGATGATCACGATGGATGTTATCCTTGGCCAAGGACCGTGCCCCTGCATCTACGTAGCTTCAAGAGCTTCTTCGGAGATTTCGGAGTGGTCAGAAGCAAAGGCACGTGCTTGCCAAAGACCTAGATCATTGTGACCAGGGCACTCATGTGCAGATGCCCGCGTGTATAAACGAGCGTAGGCTATCCATTGCATCGGAGCCTCTGATCGCAAAAGTGTGCAACGACGTCTCGAGTGACAGCTGGGGTGTGTAGTAGGCGGCACCGGCTAGTAGGGGCCGTCAAATTCAGCCAAGGGTCTAGCACTGCCCAAAGCCTGGCAGGTCCGACATGTCAGAGATGGAAGCTGCGGCACTTTGACAGACACCGAACTGTCTCGATCTTGTGCTAAATGCGGTGAAAGCAACCAATATCGGCCCTGGAGCCGGACCTCCTCTTCGCCTCAGGGAGCATGCAGTCGTGCAAGAGCCGGTCGGGCCGGGGCGAACGGAAGTTGTGGCTATATAAGCCACTTGCAATCCCCATCCCCCGCAGCGCATCCAGTTGGACAAGATGACTAGTTTCGGTGGCTCTGCCCTGGGGAACCATACACACCAGCTTTCGATGCTATGCAAGCTGATGATGACAAAACTTCTGGGACTGTGATGTGCCTTGCCTCTAGTATTACGTACCAGCCGGCGCGGCAGCGCAAGTGTGCTATTCGGAAGCTTCAAGAGCCTTGTTGCCGTTCAGTCGTAGCTCGGATGTTGCGAGCAACAGTCTTTCTCGCTTGCTTGCTTGCTTGCGTACGTGCTCGCTTGCTTGCTCGCTCGCTTGCTTAATTATATAACCCAGAAACCTGCCTACACCGGCTGGTCGTGTCGGTGAAGATGGAGCCACGGGAAAGAGGCTTCAGCAAACTCTCTGTTTCTCTTAGTCTTTCTTCAAAGGGCTCCGGGGCGTGCCCTTGTGTGGGGTTCACGCGCTCGAGTTTGGGCAGTTTGGCGGATTCTTGCTTGTTGGCTCGCTTGGGGTTTAGGGGCTGCGAACAACCCCTTGGCCCGAAGGCCTACCCCGTCACGGCGCGCGGCGTCCAGTGTCTGTCAGACCCCTTTCGGGGGTGTGAACTTAGACGAGGTTTCAGGTTGCACTTGGGTCATCCGTACACACGGAAGTGAGCAGGGAGCGACAGGTTTGCAGCAAAGCTAAGGCCCCCGCCAATCCAACACAAGAGCCAACACACTCACTTCGTCGCTCCCTTGTGCCGTTGATGGATTCCCTCTCTTTCTTCCTTCCTTCCGGGCGTTTGGGGGTGCAGTGTCCCCCCCCCCTGCGCGCAAGCGCTACGCCATTGTCCGTTGTCGTGCGTCGGCGTGAAACTTTGGGGACGACCCCGGGGAGTGCCAGGCTATTCCCTGAAGTCACAAGCCCTGTTCTAGGCAATTACTTCTTCTTCTTCTTCTTTCGCCAGGGTTCCGGGCTCAAGGGTTGCCCCCCTCGCCCGCGCGCTTTTGGCGCCCCCGACCGTTTTGGTGGGGCGTGGAGAGAAATCAACGCACGACCAAGGCAACGTTTAACGTTGAGAGACAGCAAACAAAACCAAGGGCAGTATGAACAGCACCCGTAACTCTTTCAGGATTGTTGTTGCCGTGGCTCTAGTGCGGGAAAGAAGACGCTATCGAGGGTTCCCCCGGCTCAATCAAATTACGACCTCAAAGCTACTAGCACCTCAAAAAGACCAGGACGCGATTGAGCTGGGTTGTCGGCAAGACAGACGGCAGCTCGCATAAGGGTTCTCATTTGAACAACAAAAACCAAAGCACAAACCACCCCCAAGCAAGCCCTGCGACCTACTGAACCAACGGAACCTGAACAGAAAGAGGTTTCTTACGGGTAAACCCCGGTTGAGGGTGCAACACAAGAAAGGCACACCGGCTTATGAATTACAGGGAAAGAGCGACTTAGCTCTGAAGCCCCAGAGCGGGGGCACGGCAGACAAGAAATGGGTTGGCTCAGCTCTCAGGTGGGCCGTTGCCGTCTGCGAGGTAAAGGGGAGAGTTCCCTTGTGCGCGAAGGGGCAGCTCCCCTGCTCTGGTCCTGTGTCCATGTCCCCTCGGCTCTTTGGCGTTTGCGGTGTTGACGATAGCTTTCTTTCACAGCACGTCGGTAGGCGGCCAGTGAGTTCTTTCACTCCAGGCTTCACGGAGTAGTCGGCGCTGGTTTGCACCGCCGGAATAGCGCTGGCAGCTCCATTTTGCTCGCACTGGAGGTGGAAGAACCCATTCTGGTGGCTCCGGAGTAGGGGCATCCCCTGTGGAAGCTTTTGAAGTCACTGGAGTTGGCTTGGGGTCGGGCTTAGAGCCTGTCGAGGTAGATGAGGTGGCTCCCCTGGGTCCAGGTAACGGCGGTAGCGTGAGCAGTGCTGGTGGGCTGGCCATCGCCCGGATTGGGGTTCTTCTCGGCGGTGAAGGCGACGGTCGTTGGGCATCATGCCGAAGAGCTCATGGAGGGGGTCGTAGAGCTCGTCTGCGGAGTCTCCCCCGTGATACTCAGCGGGTGTTGTCTCCTGTATTGGTGGGTCACCTGCATCCCGTCGGTGTCTGCGCTTCTTCTTCGCCTTAGGGGGGAGGGGGGGGGTGTCGAGGCTCGTGGCTTCGTCCTGAGCAAGTGCGATGCCGGAGCGGGGTTTTCTACCCCATGTAGAATGCAGTTGTCCGCGGCCCGGTTGTGTCGGTGGGTGGTGACTCTTCTCTCCTTTCAGGCACCTTAGGCATGGTTCCTGGGTGCGAGCTGGCACAGTCTGTGAGGAATCCACTCCCCGAAGTAAGGCTTCCTGAACTGTTTTCTCAACCTTCCTCTTACGCAGAAAGGAGCTAATCTCACTGGCCTCGGTGCTTTCGCACCCGTGGAATATGGCCCCCATGGTAAGAAGCCCCCCTTCTTGCAGCGAAGGCGGGGGGTCCCCCTCCATCGTGGGCAAAGGTGTTGTCCTCGGTGTCCTGGATGTAGTGTCACTTTGCAAACCGTGCTCAAAGTGTACGACCCAATGTGGAGCGGGTGGATCGTTCCCCGGAGCAGGCACACCTGTAGGCTCGCCGATGCCTTTCAGCAAGCGGGTCTCAAAATCCCGAACGGACAGCAGATAGTGAGTTCCCGTACAGGTGCGTTGCACAGCTATCTCCCCCGCAAGAGCTTGGAAGCCGTCCCGGGCAATCTTATTGTTCACCACTGGCAGCAATCGCTCGGAAGAAAAGGAATGAGGCTGAGCAAGGGGTACAGGCCCCCGGGCTGAGAAAAGCAGGGGCCAAGATCAAGTGGAGAGAGAACAAGGGCGGAGCGGCCCCTGCCTTCCTTGAACCACTCGCGGCTTGAGCCAAAATGGCTACTTGCTTGCTTGCTTGCACGGAGTTTGGGGCGTGGGGTTCCCCCCACTACCCCTGCGCACTCGCGCTGCGCCACTGTCCAGTGTCTTGTGGTCGGCGTGAAACCAAAATGGCTACTCTCTCTCTCTCTCTCTCTTTCTTCTTCGCCAGGGCATAGGAGGCGGTTTAAGCCCCCCGGCCACTAGGGCCCCCCATTTTGTTATGGGGCTTTGAGGAGGCGTGAGAAGGTTTTTGCACGTTTTTCCCCCGGTTGGTTGTTTTAATAAGAGGCCCAGTGTAAGAATTTAAAGTATGAATTACCAACTTGTCTGTCTCTCTCTCTCTCTCCAGGGCATGGGGACGGGTCAGCATCCCCGGGCCAAGCGGCCCACCCAATAATATTTATTGGGTTTGCGGGGAGTGAATCAAAGGGAATTTGTATTACACGCATGTATTACACACAACATTCGGGCTTGTTTGAGGGGGAGGCATGAAATATTGGCTGATTGGCTGACATGCATCGCTCTAAACGGCAGATTGGAGATGTCGACAGTGCTTGTCAGCAGAACTCACTCATTCCGTTTCCTTGAGTAGCTGCGCTCTCGCGTTGAATCTCTTCACTGAAGAACGAGTGCAAGTCATCAGGACGGCTAAAGCCTAAAGTGTACGATAACGACGAGTTGACGACTTTGCACTCTCAACGAACACATGCACAAGGTGTCACTTGAATAAATGGCTACTCTCTCCCTCTCTGTCTCTCGCGCTCTGTGTCCCTCTCTCTTGTGGTACATTGGATACCTCTCTCTCAAGCACGCGTCCCGCCTGTCCACCAGTTGCCCTCGCTGATAAGCTTCTGGGCATCATTCTCAATGGCTAAGTTCAGATAATAACCTTACAGCACAGCACGGCGAGAGAACTTGGCTGGCGGTGCTTAGGGCCACACCTGCTGAAACTCTCCATGGCCGCCCGTGTTGCATGCTCATTGATTTCACATACATTACACACGTTACACACCTTACATACAACATTTGTTGGCTCTATCTCTCGATTGCATCAAGCGAGGTTTTAGGAGCCACCACCAGCAGCAAAGAGCACGTTGGCCACGAAGTGCACTGTACTTATGTACGCTGCATGGCTACATACATAACATACACCGAACGCAGTGCGACCATGCACATAATAAACAGTACATACAATACATTCAATACATGCAGCATGTATGTGTCGGCATTCTACAGGTCCTCCTCTCCCTCATCCCCCCTCCCCCCATGAATGTGGTTTGAAAAGCAAATAACAAAGAGCTTCGGGGCAGGGAAAGGGCGAGCAAGGCTCGCATGTGGGGGGGGGGTGGCCGTTCGGAGGAAGCGGGGGGACTGGGAACGAGGTGAATGTGGAAGGCGGACACATGCATTCAATGACATACAGCACATTCAATTCAATACCCATGTGACATGCAGACATGCATACAGACTGTGCTGGGTCATCAGCGCTGCCCTTGAGAGCAAAGCTGAACATCTCTCAGCCAGGTGGCCGCTGCAAACACAGCTCACAAAGGTCATGATCGAAGCGACCTCTACAGCTCGAGGCAAAGAGGGAGAGTCTGAGATGCATAGCAAAAATTCATAAGAAAAACGAAAGCTAGCTGTATTCAGTGGAACTTTCACCATTGCCTGCCGCAAACGGCGAATATGCTCCAAGTCATTCATACCCGGGGCACCTTGCGAGGCTGGTCCCGCCAGTGCAACTGCTGCAACATGTGCCACAACCTGTGCACACAACTGGAGCAGAGGCCGCGACTGCTTGTTCCCGGAATCATTCGCAGGACGGAGAGGACGACGAAAATGCCAACTAAGAACCTCATCTGCAGAAAGAGAGGCAAGTCTAGAAGCGAAAGGGGCAGACAGTCTTTCAACCCTGGACAAGCACCCATGGCGCACAGTCCGGTACCCGCGCGGCTGCACGCGTGTGCTACCGCGCTTGACTGTGATTTGTCAGATCTGCTGCTTCAGGAAGAGTGACTGATCCCGGCCGATGTTTGTTCCTTTGACAGATCCAAGAAGCTGCACGCTAAAAAAGGTGGCCGCCACGGTGTAGGGCCTGAACATGCAGGCCAAGCTCGCTAATCTCACCCCCTGGGCCACCCCTCGCTGCCCAGCAGCCAGTTGGGAAGCACCCATTGTCGCTGCAAGAGCGTTCCGGAAGTGCCCCACCTAGGACGTGGTAACGGCTGAACTGCGCTATGAGAATGTCATCTTCAAGGCTCCCGACTAGCACCACGAGATGTTACACAGTAATTGGCACTGCAGTCAGCAGTTCATCGCATGTCATGGCGTCATGGACCCAGGGAGGAAGCAATTCCCAGTAGCCTTTCCTTCCTAAGAGTGCATAGAGGAAGGGGAAGATTTCAGCTGCCAGAGCTTTACCAGACTTTGGGGTTTAGGGAAGAATCAAGCCGTGGCGCTGCGACCAGGCCAGGGCAACCAAGAACGCCAACTGCAAGCCGGGGCCGGGGTGCACATGAAATATCATTTTAAATCACAGGCAGCTAACAGAACATGGAAATCGGATCTGCCGATCTTTCGTCTCAAGTACGGGCATCGTCGCGCACTCATCGAGTTCAATTATTCTGAATGTGGCAGCCTAGCAGTAGCACAAACCAACTGCTGTCGGTTTTCTTTTGACGGATTTACTTTACAGCAGAAGTGCCCAAGAAACCCCCCTTGCTCTCCCGCGAAGGTGCGAAGATGCAGAAACGACAACGGGCCTCATACAAGCCCACCCCTGTGACAGCTGACATCGTCACTACCAAGATGTCGGAATCTAACTAAGGAGACATTCTCGCAGCCCTAACACACCCGATTGCTGCGACAGCTGCCACTCCTTATCATCGAACAGGACGTGAGCTTGCAAAATGACAACTTTCACAAGAAGGCAAAGGTGCCCGGTCACGAAAACCAACAATCGCGGGACGGTCGGGGCATTGAGGGAGAGGGTCTGCACCCCTAGCCCTAGATCATGCATCGCGGTGACAGACGTGCCGACAGAGTAAGTACCCGTGATCGATAGTACCGGTTTGCTGCCACAGATCCGCATGCCTAGAACTCTTTGAATCTCTTTGAGGTGGCCCGAAAGATACTGCAATTCATGCGCTCTGGAAGACAAGTCTCTGCAAGGCCTCTCCAGGTCTCGCTTCATGCTGCCCTGTGTGCTTCTAGCCCACATCTGCCGTAAGCTGGCCGGATGCCATCTAACGTGGCGCGGCCTTTAACCCTAAACCCTAAACCCTAAACCTTCGTTATCATGGTTCAGAAGCAGCGGCAAGCTGAGGACATCCAAAAAGTCTGGCGCATACTCTGGACATGCCCGGCCTGTGAAACAAGCAGCACGCCTTTAGTCCTGACAAAGACTGATGCTTCTAGAGAAAAGTCTGAGACCGCGGGTCAATCGGGGGCAAGTAGGACCTACTACTCCTACGACTACGACGACGACTACAACTCCTGCTACTCTGCGTGACGACGAGAACGACGACGACGCCTCCTCCTCCTCC